AAGTTTTTAAAGAATAATTATGGCAGGAAACATTGTCGCTATTCCTCTCCTGTTTCGGCTGAACGGAACTGTTCACTTTTATAGTTGTATTGGGATACAATCTCTTATTCAAAAATCGTCTGGAGTTTCTGCATAATTTTATAAAAAATCATTTGATGAAAAATAGGCTTTTAGAAAGCGGAAAGGCTAAAAGAAATGTGGTATTGAAGTTTATCAATTGGCAAACGTACTTATCTTTATCGTTTTCCAAACTTTATTAAAATTTGTTAGAAAAGTCTATTGACTTTACGGTCTTAGAAAGTGAATAGAATAATAAGGGCGGCGATCAAAATAGAAAGTAAATTTTTTTTTTCTTTTTATAAATTCTGACTTACTTGCGCAATAAATGGAAAACGAAACTGAATGCTTATAAAAAATATTGAATGTATTTAATTCACCGAAAAAGGGAATTCAATGGCTAGCCAAGCCAATCTTCACAGTTTTTTGTATAATGCATTAAATTCTGATAAAATCGAAATAGCCGTGAAGAATGTTTTATTCAGACTTAATATGATTCTTTTTTAACGTTTACCGCCTTCACTCATAAGTCTACTGATTTCTTATGTTTGATTTTTTTATTTTTTGCTTTTTACTTCATATTGTTTGGTCTTCACTTTTTATTTTTCACTTTTTGTTTTTTATTTTTTATTTCTCATGTTTTGTTTATTATCTTTTATTTTTTACTATTTATTTTCCAATCTTTATCTTTTATTTTTCATTTTTTACCTGTCACTCTTATCTTAATTATTTGAAAGAAACCGGTGAAGTGACGGTCTGAGCTTAAAGCTGTAAAGACTTTTAAAAAACAACCCAGAAGATAAATTTTTTTCTAACTTAACACCTTTATCAGCTCAACTGACTTTGGATACCTTACGACGTTTCTTCACTCAAACATCTGTTTTTTTTTAAATTTCTCAAGTTTGCAACAGCAACTTAATTTATAAATAGTTTTATAAATATTTTTTATTTTTGCTAGCTTACAATATCTTAGCTTGCATTCAGTGATCGGCATAAGAACATTAAACAGCATGTTCAAGAGCGCCATAAAAATTAAACCAATATTTTTTAATTAAAAGAAACACAAACCGTAATGTCTAGAAAAGTAACGTAAAAGAAATTTTTTAGCACTCTTAATATCTGAACGTGCCCTTCATCGAAATCGAAGCTGGAAACCGCATCATCTGCGTTTTTAGCAGTTGTAAAAGCCTTTGAGTGTTTGTCTTGCAATTCCCTTTGAGTGGTTTTGTGTTTATACTGAGGATTTTTAAAGGAGAAAATAGCTTTCAGATGTGATGATGTGTTGAAAAGTCGCAGTAAGTAACTGCCAACAAAAGTTGCTGCTGCACCAGCCAAAAGATTCTAGATTTATTTAAATTACTGACTGTTCTTTTTTAACTGCTTATACATCGTTTGAATGCTAAATAATTTCCTATTCATTAGTCGAATAAAAAAACGAGATTTTCAGCTCTTCTCAAGCGGCAGCTTTCAGTCAAAGTGTTCTTTAAAATACAGCTAAATTTCTACTGCCCAGGTGATAATTGTGGTAGAATTAGAGTCATTTCTAAAATGCAGTCTACCATTGAAATGTTTCAGATACAACCTTACAAGTACTTTCTTAAGAGTTATGAACTATTAAAATTTCCAGTATTCCAGAAGAAGCATTCAAAAAGTCTAAAAAAGTCAAAGTCCATGAAGAAATTCTATCAGATTGAGAATGGTTAGCAGAGAAACATTCCAACAATAAATAAATGATGAAAATAAGTGAACCACATAAACCAGCTTAAAGAATTGCAGTTAAAACCAGTCAAAATTAAAGATATTACAAAAGGTTAATTGATTCGACTGAAAAGTTAAATCCTAGCTGAAAGAAGGTAGACCTGGAACGCCGGTAAGCTTTCCGAGAGGCACCACAGTTCTATAATTAAGAGTATACTACGCTAGCTGGTTAGATTGATACGGCAGTGCGTATTGAGTAGTTCTGATCATTGCCTCATCCAAGTTATCTCTTTTATAAAGTCTTCATTTTAACTGATACACTACTGATATATTACTGCATAAGTTTAGTGGTGCAATATCAGTTTTGAAAATACAACTGCTCAACAGAATGTGACCACTGGCCTTATCTATGTGCTTTTCTCATAAGACTGCTTTAAATGAAATTATAAGTTTTCATTGGTATGAAGTAAATCGTGAAACGTTTAATGCTTTGTTCGTTAAACCTCCCGTAAGTGGTTCTAGCAGGTTACAGCAGAAATTAGCATGGTGATTCCGTAAGATAGCACATTTCTTGAGTTATCTGGCCATCACCTCTGTATACACGTATGAACGACGAAAAAATACAAAAAATCTAGTAAAGTTGGTTTTGGTATTAAAAGATTGAACAACGGTTCTGAGCTATAAAGGCAAGGAATAGGAACTCGATGAGAGAGATATGCTCATGATATCAGCTTAAGAAAACATATTTTTGCAAACTCTAGCAGTCTTGGAAATATTGGCAACTTCAAGCACTTCAGAACATGAGGGAAAAAGGGGCGTTTAGCTCTCCTCTGACGGAACAACAAATCTATAAATCAAAATAAAAGAGTTTCTTTACTTTTGTCAAGCCATGTTCATATATAAATCTAAAACTGATTTCCGAGTCCTCTACCTAAATTTACAAGTTCCTTTAAATTTTTGCCACAGATTGGTTTTTGTCCACGTGTCGTGTCCAGGATTGATAAAGTGTGAACTCTGGTCCACAGTCTAACCACAGTACCTGTTAGGCATGTCCCTGACGGTACTATTTACCGCCCCGTGTACAATCAGTGTACAAGATTGCTAAAAGCCACCGTGAAAACAACTGACTGCTGATGTTCATGACTGGAACATCAAGTTGCATCGCACAGCTCAGTACTACTTGGCATGCGATCTACATAAAGCAACACACTTCATTTATCTGTTAAGATGGAAGGAGTTCATGCCTCCTTGTCTTTACACATTTACTTATAAGAAAATGAAGCAATGGCAAAAAAGGCGACTTTTCAACTCGGTAAGATCAGGAGAAGCTGGAAGCAATCCGAACTTTCATTGCTTCAATAAAACCAATGAGCACTAAACCCGTATTACTTATGAAAACTTCTTAGTTGCGACCAACAATAGCTGTAGCATTTAAATTAGGGAAACAAAAAGTTTATTCATCATTGCGACTCAAATGACGTGAAAGTGTTTGCAACCGCTCGCAGTCACTCAGAAAGCGAACATTTCAATCTCATGCCGATTAAAAACTAGAGTGTTCAAAATAGTCTGCTTTTGCTCAGAAAACAAAAAAGGACGACGACGTATGTAATATGCATATCTTGAAAAGCAAAGCATTATTTGCTAATTTAAACAGCGATTGTTCTAGAGATGATAAACGAAGTAGCTGCCAAAATGAGTTAGTTATTGACCAAAACATTAAGCCAATGCTACCAAGTTCGAAAATGCCTAAAGATGAGGTAGAAGACAATAAGTTCACTCGAATTCTGCATTCTTCAAAGACGTCTTTTTTAATAAGACGTTTAACGGTGCAGTTTCTGAATTATTAGCACTTGCTTTTGCAAAATTTACAGTACTACCCATAAATTTATTTACTTGCTTATTTAAGTAAATCCAAGGATAAAAGCCGATTATAGGTAAATCTGACGGAATAACAAGCAGGTGTCTGCACTGCATGCCATTTCACTCTATCCGGTTATTCTGTAGCATATATTATTGATGCATGCTGATCCCGCCAAACAGCGACCTTTTCTGCAGTGGAATGGTCGAATTCCTTAAATTAATTTCTGTTATGCAAAAAAAAAAGAATAGATTTGGTTTTAATGACTGTGACATGAGTTTACGGTTACATCTTTGCTTCCCCTAATTTTTTAGCTTTTGTGAAAACAGCTTTCATATCTAGTGCTGTTAAAAACGTCTGTACCAGAAAGATAATTTTCGGCAAAGATTGTTCCTTATATACTGCTTGAAAAAACTTACGAAGAAATTGTTTTTTTTTTTTGGTTCTAACGAATCTGTACTACAGCGTATGTAGTGTTTTCATATTTTTTCATATTTATGACTAAAGAAAATAAGATGTGGAGGATAGAAGAAAAAGAAGAAAGAGCGTTATGGAGGGTTTCACTCAGTTTTTAAATTACTTTTGCTATAATATTGGCAAAAAAAAGAAAAAAAAACACTTTCGCCGAAACTTTCATGAAACGTTATTCTATTTCTCATCACTTCCATAAAAAGCCACTCTTCTACAATGATTTCAAATTTTGGTCTGTAACAGACTTTTATTTCACTAATAAGATCTAGGGGTAACAATGCCTAATCCACCATCCGCTCAAAATTTGCACAGACGCCTTCACTCACTTCGTGTATCGCCCTGCCAAAAAAATCGGCCTTCCCATTTGTGTAATTGATATTGTTGTTGTTTAACAGTGTAAATCATCCATTTGCACGATTAATGGATTTTCCAAATTTGCATACCTTGTCCAGTTTTCATAGAACATTGCAGCATATTATGTCGTCCCTACTTTTTTCACGCTCTTGTCATTCCCAACTTTTCCGGCACTTGCGGCGGCTCACTAACCAACGGGAAATCTCTAATCTTGTTTCAGCTCTCTTCTTTGCTTATGCACTTCTTAATGCTTTCTAGGTATTTCTTTAATTTCTTATGTATATGTATATATTTCCATATTCCGGTGGTTCTTCCGCAAGAAAAAGCGTCGTTGTTTATGGTCACTGCTACAATTCAACACTTTACTCAAAAGTGTAGCGCTAATCAAATAATTAATGATTTCAGCGCTGATCGAAAAAACCGTCGTCAAGGTGATGATGATCACAACAGTCACAGAAGTGGAACAATTGAAACTGTGCGATTGCGCTGGAAACAGCCGTTAAACTTCTTTTTGAACTTTGGTAATCAGTGCCAGCATTTTTCGTTGGCCACTCGATCAACTTTATACATCTGTTCCAAAAAAAAAACGTTGTAAAAACCGATACCGACGAATCTCTTCCTCGCAGTTATAGTACTGACCGTTATGAAGACCTTGAGCGGGACTTAAATCAACAAGATAAAAATTTCTGCAGTACTGATCTCCTGGCAGAAATGGTCTGCTGGGCGCCGCTTTATCAAACTGATCAAGTTCATCAGCCCTTTCTAGTTTTCTAAGAACGAGGAAAGAGGACGAAAAGTGCGGGGACTCAAGTGCTTTCTGATCTTGAATAGTAGAGCAAACCGTTTCTACAGGTTGACAAATATACATTAAATCATTCGTTTTTTCACTATACACGTCCTATGTCTCCAAAGCTTTCCAGACGAATAAAGTTTTCTGGACATTAAAAAAATTAGTGTTCTCTTTCAGCTTGGTAGTCGCAACCGCCTTATTGGTTGTATTGAAACACAGCAATATGTATTGCAATTAGAATTTACTAGAACTTGATTAGCTGAATCAAAAATAGGGCCACTAAATTCAAAGAACTCTCAAATTTTAAATCTGTAGACGTCGACAGAGACCTATTACCAAAAAACATTAATAAAAAGACCTGAAATATAAAGTTAAGTATACATGATGTGGTACAGAATGACCGCATGTCTTCATATTC